CTAAGGGCTGGATTATAGGCGGCCACCACACCTGCTTAGCTTTTATGTGGGTGCCAGAGATGTGAACTCTGGTCCTCACGCTTGTGTAGCAAGTGAATCATCCACTAAGCCCTCTGTCCAGCCCTAAGGTAAAATTCTCAGGGATGCATTAGACCGGTCTTACTGTTTCTAGCCTGAATTATCACTCTTCAAAGGTTTACTATGGAAGAAAAAAGTAAAGAGAAGAGGATTATAAATTTGTGGGATGTGTAGATGTATTTTTTTCCTAATTTTAAGACAGGGTCTTGCTACATAGCCCAGGCTGGCCTGAAACTCACAATCCTCCTGCCTCAGCCTCCTAAGTGTTGGGATTTCAGGAGGGTAATATCATACCTGGCTTCTTACTTTTTTCTGTCAAATACATGACAGCACAGAGACTGGCTCTTTTGGACACACTGCAAATTCCATTTAACTATTACATTTTTCTGTAGGAAAACATATTCCAATTTTGAATGGTACTTAGGATTAACCAATTTATGAGCAGTACAGAAGGATTTGACTATTCCTGAGGATAGGAATGGAAGTTTCCTGGGGTGATGAAAGATAACTGATTTTTTTTTTTCTATAGAATTACTTTGCTTGGATTTATTTTCTCCAGTGCCTTTTAAAGTCCTGTGACAGGCCTACTACGAATGGGCTGGGGGCCTGAGCCTTCCAGGTATGAAAAACACCAAGCTTAGAATCAACAATTTCTGGAAAGCCAGCCCCATCCCAGGAGTGTTTTCTTGGTGATAATACCACAAGTAGCTACAAATCTCTATAGGGTCTCACAGCTTCCAAAGAAAATTCCTAGATACCCATACCAAGTCCTCACCAGAGCAAGACAGGCCTGCTATTAACATTCTCATTTCAGGGCAGAGTGAAAGGAGGCTCAGAGAAAACGGTCATTCATGCCTGGGTCTAACCTCATGTCCTGATACATGTGGTTTATGATTTAACCCCAATGCATTTTGTCTGCTCCATTTCCCAGTACAACCCATGGCAGTGCACTGTGTAATGGAAAAGACTGAAGTAATTCCTACTGCCACCAGAAGCCATGAACTCTGATACTGCAGCCTCCTCCTCCTCTTGGTGTCACAGTGAAGTTTCTAGTTCTGAGACCCACTGGGGCCAGACTAGAGAGTGTACCTGGCTTCTACAGTCCCTGAGCCCTGGAAGGCTACCAGAGAGAGCTGTGCATCCACTGACCTCGTGCAGGATGAACTTCTGATCCTCAGGGACGTGGTCCTCACAGAGATGCATGACAAGGTCATCCTTTCCTTCCTCCACAGCTACACAGGCCTCTGGCTGACGGGTGTTATAGCGTATTTCCTTCTTGGATGTGTACTCGAAAAACTAACGACAGGATGACCAACAAACATGTCAGTTTACCTTGTGGAGTGGAAGGAAGGGGAATCTGGGGGAAAGGGGGTGGGGTCAGTTCAACATGCTCCCCTCCCACCTTCAGGAGTCTGTCCTGAAGCTCCAGGTGTCCTGGGGTACTAAGCTAGCCTCTAACGCAGAGCTTAACCAGTGCCATGGGGGCTCCCCTCTCCTGCCCCCCTCATTTGCTAGACAGAGTGGAAAGGGTAGGTGAAGTTAAGAGAGCTTGGGCCTGTTCCAGTGCTAGCCCTCAGGGGCTGTCTACAACCTTGACCTTGACCAGCTACTGCCTCTCCTTTCTCTTTCTTCACCAATACAAGACTGCAAAAAGGCCTGGAAACTATACAGTGCTGTTGGCGAGCCTGAATAATCTAAGGCTGTGGGGTCCAAACTATGAAAGTTCAGACTAGAAGGAAATTTGTGATCAAATGGTGAATTGCTCTGGGAGAAAACTATTGTGTCCCCAACCCTTTGTCTCCAGGTGTGGGGTAACCCTCAAGAAGGAAAGTTCTGTAAGTTCAAAATCCTTCCTTTCCATGCCCTGCATCCTTGAACAGCTCTGCCCTGCAGGTCACCTGCTTTGCTGGGACATCTCCTACTCTAGTCCTCAGAAGCTCCAGGACTGAGCCTCCCCTGCCCAGCCTGACCCAGGGTGCTTAATCCAGAAAGAGCTGCCTGGGCCCCAGATAGGGCCCCAACACTGCTTTGATGTAGTGCATCAAAACCTTTCACTTAAGAATTAATTCTGGGGCTGGTGAGAGGCTCCGCAGGTAAAGGCACTTGCCGCCAAGCCTGACGACCTGAGTTTAATTCCCAAGACTCACATGGTGGCAGGAGAAGACTGACTCTTACAAGCTGTCCATTAATCTCCATACTCACATTGTGGCATACACACACACACACACACACACACACACACACACATTTTAAAGGAATTAATTCTAAGGAAATCATCTTAACTGTGTATCTGTTATTTTCTTCTTTCTGATGGAAGTTGGAAGAGTTATTTTTAATGACAGAAACAGAAGCAGATAACCAGTTAACAAAACAATAATGAAAACATCAAATAGCAAGTGGCCACTGGGAACAGAAGTCTCAAAAGACTTCTGATACTATAAGCATGATCAAGTTAATGCAATACACAGCATACAAGCATTATGGAAATAACTATGTAAAGCACATAACCTTAAGTTTATTTGTAAACAAAAAAGGGAAAGAAATCTGTCTTAATTTTAGTGGTGATCTCCCTGGGTCTTGACAGTCACCCCTTGTTTCTATTTATTATATTTCCCAAATGTTCTGTAATAAGTATGTATTGCTTCTATAAAGAAAAAAATAAATTTAAAAAATTCTCTGTAGCACTGGAGATCCAGCTCGGGTGTGATGGTCAATTTCAATGGTCAACTTGATTGTACCGACAAACACCTAAGAAATGAGGGAAGAGAACCTCTGGGTTGAGTTTGTGATGGTGTTTCCACAGATGGTGAGCCCTGAGGGTCTGACCTAATCAGTGGATCATTCCCTTGATGGATTCATAACTGGAGGTATCTCTGGAAAGTGATGAAAGGCAGGAGGAGGTGGGGCTTCACTGCCAGAAGTAAGTCTTGGGAATATGTCCTTGGGGCTGTATTTTGCCCTGGCCACTTTTCTGTCTTGACCACCATGATGTGAACTGCTCTGTTCCATCTCACCTTCTTGTTACCATGATGTTCTGCCCAAGCACGTGCGGCCCAGCCACCACAGACTAAACCTTCTAAACCTGTGAGCTAAAATAAAACCTTCTTCCCTTGGGTTGTTTCTGTCAGGCATTTTGTCACAGTGACTCAAAAGCAAGTGGTACAGCACTGCTTCCCACATGCTAGGCAAGGGCTCTGCCACTGAGTCACACCCTGAAAAAAAACCAAGTGTTAAGTTTTAAAAAATATTTTATTCATTATTTTTATTTTGTGTCTATGAGCATATTGCCTCATGTATGTAAGTGCACCCATGTTGTGCAATGCCCACAGAGGTCAGAGAGCATCAGAGTCATCTCTCCAGACCCAAGGATTTAATTTTTTAAAGAACACATAAAGGACCAGTGAAATGGTTCAGTGGGAAAAGGCACTTGCTTTAAGCCTGATGACCTGATTTCTATCCTGGGGACCCACGTGGTGGAAGGAGAGAACCAACCCCTGAATGCTGTTCTCTAAACTGGATACACACATCGTGGCATACTCTCTCTCTCTCTCTCTCTCTCTCTCTTCTCTCTCTCTCTCTCTCACACACACACACACTCTCATACACAGACATACACGTAAATGTAATTTTTCAAAAAGGACACAGAGCTTGACCCTCCCCTTTCCCCCTTCCAAGGTCCACGCCTACCTGGTTCTGACCCATTCCATGGCAGGGGTACAAAATGACTTGCAGTCCGTCGACTTGGTTTTCATTAGGAGGGTTATAGTCAAAGCAGTATCCGTTTAGTCCTTTGTTCTGGAGCTAAGCAAAACTCAAAGGTAGTATTTTGGTCTAGATTTCTGCACACCAAAAGACTCCGTATAAGTCTCGGAAGGAGGAAGGAAAGGAGGAGGGATGACCTACCTTAGGAACCAGCCCAGTGAAAAGAGCCCTGTCCTCCTGCCCAGCTCTTTCTGGTCCTTACAGCACTTTGCCATGCTGAACAGCTAATGGGAACTCAGCCTCACTTTAAGGTGACGAACCTGGCCTCAACTCACATCTCACGTCTCAGTCACAGCCTCATTGCTGCACTGGTCCAAACAGTGGGTCATGGCTTTGAACTGAGATTAAACTAAATCAAGCAGAAGATAGAAAAGTTTTTTTTGTTATTATTACTGTTCTTTTGTTTTCTATTTCCTTTTGTTTGGTTGGGTTTGTTTGTTTGGTCTTTTTGAGACAGGGTCTCCCTGTACTCCTGTGGAGGCGCGAAACAAGATGGCGCTGAGCAGCTTAGGTAAAGGTGGAGCCAGCTGGCCAGCTTGGCAGGCAACAAAAAGAAAAAGTAGTACTGATTAAAGCTTAGCCAGTAAAGGACGCATGATCACCTTGTGAACACTGAGTTATGCTATGAGAAGGGCCTGCGTGCTAATACGTGACCTCTGAGCTGATTGGATGGCGGCCTCCCCGCCTATGCTATGCTTGTGGTCGTTGCCTTTAAATATTGTTCAGCCTTAATAATAAACGAGTTCTAGCTTAAAGCTACTCCCTGTCGTGTCTGATTGTCCTCGGAGAGAAGGGCTGGCAAAACGGGCGGACAGCGCACTTACCCCTCCTCGACCCCCATCGCTGCGGCCTCTTGTTCCTCTCCCCAAGATGAAGGGATTCGGAGACCATGGCATAGTCCCAGCAGGCCTGGAACTCACAGATCAGCCTGCCTCTGCTTAGTGCTGGCATTAAAGGCTTAAACCACCACTGCCAGCTTTGTTTGTTTGTTTTGAGACAGGGTCTCACTGGGTAGCTCTGGCTGGCCTGGAACTCACTATGTAGACTAGGCTGGCCTCAAACTTACAAAGTTTTTTTTAAATGACTTTAGGGGGTTAGTATATTTAATCACACTTCCTTAATAGTGAAATGTATTTGATATACAAATAGAACTGACAGCAATCTTACACTTTATTCTGTATGACACTGCCCATTGTAATGTGTATTACTAAAAAAAGAATACAGGCATAATATCAAACAGATAAAATCTTAAATGGCTAAGTTTAAATTTGAGGTCATTATTTGTTTCTCAAAAAATGAAGGTCTAAGGCTGAAGCAGCAGCTCAGTGGGTGGGTACTTGCTTTTACAAGCATGAGAGTCAGTTCAAATCCACAGCATACATGTAAAAAGCAAGGTGTGGCTGGCTACACATGCCTGTAACTTCAGCATGGGGTACACAGACCGGTGGATCCTGAGAACTGACTAGCCAGACAGTCTAGCTGAAATGCTCAACTTCCTATTTGGAAGGATGCCCCGTCTCAAGGCAGTAAGGCAGAGAGCAACAGAGGAGGACCCTAGATATCCTGCCCTGGCCTTCTCATGCACGTGCACAGGTATGTACACACACATTCACATGGATTCAACACACACACATACAAAATGTAGGTCCTTTCTGTCTGAGAAATTTTAGAGCTGTGCTATTCCACACAGCAGCCGCTGGCCTCATGGACACTTAGAAAAATTCAAATTGAGATGTGCTATTAAATGTAAAATATAGGCCAGAGTTTGAGACAATGTGGAAAAAAAGGTGGAACACCTTCACATTAACTTTATGTTGGAATAACAGTTCTTGAGATACACTGGGTTAAACAGGAAATTTACATTATTTGCTTTGGCTGCTAGACTTTTTATATGGCAATGTGTGGTTCATGTTATATTTCTGTGGCACAACACAGTCTAGGTAGTAAAAACCTATAGAAGCCAGCATCACCACAGAGAGGACAGGGCTTCTGGAAAGAATGGAAGGAAATGCTTAAAACATGCATTGGACATCTCAGCCAGAATTGAACAAGTCAAGTCATGTGATGGGGTCAAAGGTCACAGAAGCCAGAATAAAAGAGATTACCACTGACCAAAGATGGGATAACTTGACTATTAAAAAAAACAAAACAGTGGGGCATGATGGCTCACACCTTTAATCCCAGCAGAGGCAGGCAGATATCTGTGAGTTCAAGGCCAGCCAGGTCTACACAGTGAGTTCCAGGCAGCTGGGGCTAAAGGGAGACTGTCTCAAAAAGACCAAAAAACCCAAAAACCCAAAAAACCAAAAAACCAACCAACCAAACAAACAAACAAAAAACTAGACTGTGCTGACTGAATCACATACAACATATATACAGCCTTAGTCTATTTTATGTTGCTATAACACAATACCACAGACTGGCCATCCAACAAAGACGAAAACTTTATTTCCTCACATATCTGAAGCATAGTAAATTCCAGCATCTGATGACCCTCTACAGCAGAGAAGGCAGAAGGGCCAGAGAGGGAGCCCAGCCTTGTAGAGCACTCTCCATATAGTAGTGCTATTGCCTCCCACCACAAACACTGCTGCCTGGAGAGTAGGGTCCCAAGACCTGAACTGGGCGGGGGGGGAGCTGTTTTGATACCTTCATCACAGCGAATATCCATAGTTTACAATGATACTCAAGAAACCACTCAAAAAGCAAATGAGCCGACAAACCAAAACACAACCCACCAGGTAATGCAAGCAGGAAATGGACGCACTGAGTCTCTGCCTGAAAACTGGTGAGTCGGGGGAAAGCTTGAGAACAGGTTGTTCCTCATCTGAAGTCCATGTATTGCAGTGTGCCTTGGTTAATGGGGGGAATGCTCTTCTTTGCAGAAAGATTCCAGCCATCAGTGTGGAAGAAGTGAAAGGAACAAAACTACCACCATCTGGTGACTCCACTTGAGATAACAGATCTAAGCCATGAGATGGGAGGCCCCCACCCCAGAACCTTCACATGGGCTGCCCAGGCAGTGGCCGCCATGGGAATCCACTGTGCATCCTATTATCTTTTTTCTTTAATCAATTTATTTTTATTTTATATGTATGAGTGTTTTGCCTACATACGTGTAAGTGCAGCTATGTCATGCAGTGCCTGTAGAGGCCAGAAGAGGGCATCAGATCCCCTGGAACTGGAGTTATGGATGGTTGTTAGCTGCCATGCAGGTGCTGGAAACTGAACCCGGGTCTCCTGCAAGAGCAGCCAGCACTTTTATCACTGCGCCATCTCTCCAGCCCATCCTATCATCTTATCACTACAGCAAGACAACCAACCTCATGTGTTCCTCACATGGTACCACAAAATACAAAGCCCTCCCCACAAGTGCTCTTAACAAGGTTGACCCTGACCCTAATCAAACCTTTAGCTCTATTCCCATGGCAAAAAAAAAAAAAAATTGGGGCAGATAACCAGG